AATAGATTCAGCATTGCTACTATAACTGGAAATGGCTTGGACAAATTTAATCCAACTTCCCTGAGAATATCTAATTAATCTCAGGCCCGGGAGGAAAATCAAGATTAAGATAGGAAGTCTCCATTTGTACTAAGGGCAGAGGAACTTGGGGCCTCCGTGTCCACAAAGGGCATCACATGACCCCTCCCTGGGGGATCTTCTCAGAGCGCCTCGCTTCTCTCTTCTCTCTTTGGCCTCAAGTCCATGAGAAATGTGTACCCGGCTACCTACCTTACCGCCTGACCTGAGTTGGAGACCCACGCCCACCACAGCCCAGGAGACAAGCGACAAATACGAGCCCCATATTTAAGATGTAGCTCAACCTTTGACCACTAGAGGTCTCCTGGAAAGCAATGACCCGTATAACCCGGTTTATCTTCCTTCAAACCAATAGACTTGTTGCACTAAGACTTGGCGAGCCTGCTCTGCTGGAGGCCGCCTTATTAATAACGCCACCCACCCCCCACCGCTGAGTACGGCGCCAGGCTAGGAAGGGGGAGGGGACTAGGCGGTGGCTGACCCTCAGTGCTGGTTTTTCGATCCACGAATCAGTCTGCAGGCTCCGGGGCTACCCCCTCGAACCCCACTTCCTAACCAAGCAAGACGGGAGAGCCCCTAACTCAAGGTCCCCAGGTGGGCAGCGCGGAGTCCCACAGACTTCCAACCAGCGATGGGCTAGCCAACGGACCAACATGCAGAATCACCTAGCATCAGGTCTACCAACAGGCCAGGATCCACCCCCCCCTCCCCGGGTTTCGCCCCCACTCATTCCTTCCCCCTCCCCCCACTTCATCTTCTCCCTTTGCCTCCCGATCGCCAAAGTGGCCCGAGTTTAGCCGGTGGAAGGAGATTAGGGAAGCTTTCACCGTCCCTGTTCTGATCCATGCGGTATTTTCTGCAAAAATTAGCGGCTTCTAGCTGGAAGAGGAAAGGAAAAAGGAGCGGGGAGACGAGGGGGAGCAAGAAAGGAAACAGCCAGGTTGAATTCCCAGTCTTTATCAAGCAGTTCGCTCACCAGTCAAAGAAAGCTGCAGTGGCAGATTCGAGCCACATGCGGTAGTGTGTAGCAATTAGTAGATAAAATGCTGACTAAAGTGCTAAAACATGAAGTATTATTGTAGCCAAGGTCAAAAATGCTTCAGTTGTCTTTTGCAATTTGGGGGAGGGGGAGGCCCAGAGGTGCGCAGAGAGGTTTGAATTTTCGAATTGGTTGCCTTCTTTCTTCAAACTGTACTTTTTTTTTTTATGATCCTGTTTATTATAGCCCAAGCTGCCTAATTATGTCACTGCTGGTTTTTGCAACTAACTTAATCCTCCTGATCCTTTATGAAACGATTCACAGGCACTGAAAAAATGTGTCTACTGCTTCCCCACCCTCTTAAGGGGGTGAGAATGATTTTTTAATTTTTTTTTACCTTTTAAATAAACCAAATAAAACTGAGAGTTGGATTTGGGGCTAGCAAAGCAGCAGGAATATAGATGTGTGGGTATAGGGTCCTGTGTTTCAGTGTAAGAGAGAGCCCAGAAAATAGTGGGTCATATAAACCTATACTGCTTTCCTTCCCACTCCTCTTTTATACACAGTGAGTCCCAGCTACAAGCTTTTTTATAGATAAATAAAGCAGTTGCTTTCATGATTATAACTGTCCTGAATGGATTGTGTTCTTACAACATTCGATCTGTTTATGAGTATTTACTTTACATTAGCCCAAGGACCCTGCACTGCGGGAGTTTGTCTCTATTCCCCTGGGTGTCGGTGTCTCAAGTCTTACATCTGCTCTGTGATTGATGGAGCCTTGAATCCACGTTATTACTCTCTCACAAGCAGAAATCAAACAGGCTATTAACTACATTACTTCAAAGAACTGTTTCAATACAATCTCCTTATCTTAATTGAAACTTTCTTTGTATGGATATTTGCTACACAATTTACAGGTGCCTATCAAGCATCATATTAAAGAGGTAAAATAGATGATATTTTTTGTTTTTGTTTTGATTTTTTTTTGCAAACACACACCATTGTGATCTGTGATTTTAAAAAGCCATTTACAGGATTGGATCAGAGGTTTGATTTATTAGATTTTATTATGTTCATGGGGGGTGGTCGTGGTGCTGCTGCAAAAAGAGAGGGAAGATACCCCAGTGATCCAGTTTTGAAATTTAGCATTCATCTGATTACAAGACTGCAGATATTCAAAAATATTCAGACCTAGATCCCTGCAATTGTTAACATCTGAAAAACCTTATCCGGAGTTTACAAAAAGAGAGATTACACAGCATGCAGCCTAGTTCATCGCCTACCTTGAAGAGACATAGAAGCAGGGTTTCTAATTAGATGAAGTCCCTCACAGACACTTAAAGACTTACAGCACCAAAACCAGCAGAAGTTGCTTGGATGCTCTAAAGAGCTGTGTATTTTTTGAGAGATTTAATATACAATCCAGGGATACCCTCAGGCATTCTGTTGAGGTTTCCTGCATAAATGCTGCTGCATTGGTCATACAGGAAACTGACTCAGAGTCGATCTCAAATATGATCTTGTCAAAATACTGCAACTCAAGTTTTTAAATATAGGATGTCTTGAACTGAATGTATATATTTACGCTAACAGGACAGAGACTGAAGCCTTAGGCATCTCTCCTGTATTTAAAAAAAAATACGTAAAATGCCCTTCAGTCAAGTCCATTCATATGTAAAAAGATGAACAAAATGGGTTATTCTAATCAAACGTCTGCAGTATGCATCATAAAGTTAAAAAGAGAGAGAGAAAGCACGAGAGAGCTGTAATTTCTCTTTGTAACCCATGTTTATAAAATAGAAAGATCAGATGAAATTTCAAGGAAGATAATTAAAGAGTGATGTGCAAGTCATAATTTGGCTAATGCAAAGATGGGAGACTCTGAATTGTTACATTGTCCTCCTTCATTGTGCAGAGTTGTGATATTACTTTAAATTATTAAAATAGTTTTCATCTTTAAGAATACCGGCTCTTTGGCATGGGCTTTTATTACTTATTGTAATTGGAGGATCTGCCATTTTCTTTCGTTTATCTCTGTGTGTATAGAAACGAGATAGATCTTGCCTTTTATTACTTCCCCATGTTCTGAATCAAAAATGTGGTTTAGATAATGTTAAGTGCCCTAATTCTTACTGCAGCCGACGCAGACGTTATGAGAAGGCATAAAAATACACACAGAGGGTCTTTCCACCTCAAGTCACTGAATATGAGGCATTTGTGCTCTGCCGGGTGTATTAACTTCAGCCATGTGAATATAATTTTCATTAAAGTAATCCTGTTTCAACTAGATGCTGTGACTAGGGGTGAAACGTTGCGAAAGCGTTAAAAATAGCTTACTAGTAATTTCAACATCCTGTAATTTTATCACAGATCAAGTTTCAACTGTCATACTATACAGACCTTATTCCCCATATAGTACATGTTTACTTTTTTAGCATGCCAGACCCACTTTAGAAAGACTGGTGCCAATATAATAAAATCGGGGGGGGGCGGGAGGTGCTGGAAGGAGTGGGAGGAGAACGGGGAAGGGGGTGGGGAGCGTGGGGGAAGCGAGTACACCATTTTACATCAACACTGCGAAAATGCAATCTAGCCTGGCGGAGGACGGGCAGCTGGGTCGGAGCGAGCGAGGGCTTTGCAGTCTCTGCCTGTTCCTTGTTCTGTCGCTCTTAAGTTTCTCTGTGTTTGCATAATAGCCGTGCATGCAAACCTCGCAATGCTCCAGGGCTCCAGAACAATAAATATACACATTTAAAACCTTTATTGTCTTACGGTTCATGCCCCCGGTTTTCAACAGCTTAATTTCTGGTTGTATTTAACTAGTTTGCAAATGGATTTTTTTCAGTTTCAAACTATTATTGAGGAAGCTCCCCTCCCTTTTTTGGCGGGGGAGGGGATGGGGGTGGGGTAGGAGTCGGTATATTATTCCTGTAGCGCTGGGTTATATAAACACATTATCATTTGAGAGCGCCCTTGGCGTCCATCAGCATTGTAAACACGTACTAGTGTATATACTTCAAAATTAAAGAATGCACACGCAGAACCGGGAGCCTGAATTCATATTCCGAGCAGACTCGCTGCTCGCATTTATTGATTTATCATGCATCGTTTATTGTTCCAGTCCCTAAATGCAGTCGCTGTCCGTTCAATATTGTTTGCAAAATCCTGAGATGTGTGTGCACTGCTCACTTGTCTTTCTGGTTTTTTTTTTTTTTTTTGCCGAGTATTTTTTGCGAAGCGAACAAATGCATTAATATTTATATGTTTATATAATCGATAACCCACTTTTCCCTTCCATGTAAATAGGCATCAAAATATAATTTAACAGATTAGTTCTCGAAAACATGGCAGTGAGGAAGCGTAATTTAACTATCAAACAAATCTACATGTCTAATAACAGCAAATCTGCTAAGGAGCATTAGAAAGAGGAGCAGCGCCCCGGAATCTCTGCAGGAAATGTTCTTTATATTAGACATATACAAGCAGGTCCTGTCAGATGCACAGCGGAGCTCGCTAGCTCTCGTCTCTTCCAAAAATCTCATTAGACGACACCCCTAGACAAGGGAGATTGGGAAGAGGGAGATCTCATCTTCACACAGTTTTAGGGTGGATTTTATTTTTACAAACCGTCCTATATGTTTTTTGCCTTGATCCATCCGCTTCCCGCCGAGATCGGACGGAACCTTCCTTCCGATTATGAATTTGATCATCCCACATTTGGAAGGAAACCAACACAGTTTTGACAGGAGCTGAAAATTGAGTCGTCAGAGAAATATTAGGACATATTTTCAATCATTTTGGTGCCGAAGGGGAGGCAAGAGCTCAGTTTTATATTGAGACATTACGCCAGCTGAAGGCAGAGAATGTTTTTCCCTGCCAGGACCTGATGCAATCCATTCAAGCCAACAAGTTTGGAGAGAATGTTGAGTTCAATCAATTCAGAACGTCGAGATGGAGCCCAACTCACTCCAGGTATTTCGCTCTCCTCCGCTCCTCCGATCCCGGCACCCCCCGGCACCCCCCAGCCCCCCAGCTCACCCACACCTCTGCACCCACCCACACCCCCCACAAACTTTTCACCAAACTTTTACCCTCTGCATCCCCCCAAATCATTTTTATTGTTTAAAAAAATCCCTGCACTGATCATACATACATAATGTAATTTTACCGCCTCAGATGGAGAAGTAGGGAGAGGTGGCGGTGGGGGTGCCCGGAGTTTTTTTTTTTTTTTTTAAGGGAAGCAGAAAATTTGTGGGCTCTATTATTTTTCCACCCAGCTTTATATCTGTTGGCTCTTCTGTATTAAGAGTGTGGATGTCTGTGTGTAAATGTGTCTGGGAATAGATGTTTGTGCTCTGATGGCTACGTTATTTATTTGGTGCTTTTTTTCCCCTGCAGTGGGTCGGCTCACCGTGTGGCTTGCACGGACCTTACATTTTCTACAAGGCTTTTCAATTCCACCTTGAAGGCAAACCAAGAATTTTGTCCCTTGGCGACTTTTTCTTTGTAAGATGTACGCCAAAGGATCCGATTTGCATAGCGGAGCTCCAGCTGTTGTGGGAAGAGAGGACCAGCCGGCAACTTTTATCCAGCTCTAAACTTTATTTCCTCCCAGAAGACACTCCCCAGGGCAGAAATAGCGACCATGGCGAGGTGGTAAACTTATATCTCCCTCTCTTCTTTCTTTATTATCCCCCCCCCCCAAGTAATGCTTATTACAGGGCAAGCTTGAAAATAGTGTATTCACTTCTGCAGGCGAGCAGGATCGACTCCTTTTTTAAAGGGGTAGCGCCACTAGCTGGGGCTCGAGTATTTTGCCATTGTCAGAGTTTGGCTGTCAGCTTTACAAAGAGGATCCAACTGCTGATTTTAGTCAAGATCAAATAACTTGTTCGAGAAGGGTTTTGTTCAAGGATGTGTGTGTGTGTGTGTGTGTGTGTGTTTGAGAGAGGGGGGAGAGAGATCGCTCTCTTGCTACTGCGCTTGAACATCACATGCTTTTTATATTTTTTCGCCTTTTGAAAATTTTACCTTCGCGTTTGGCTCGGTCGGGGCTGGGTGGATTTCTTTCGGTGGGTTTCGATATTCACTTTTTTTTTTTAAGTAAGTATTTGATATGTTTAAGAGGGCGGAAATTACGAAATGGAGGCAGAGTGAGATCAAAAGCTATTGAGTTGGCAAAGACGTGTTGAATAAAGTGATAAATGACAGGTACTGGAATAATACATTCAAATAACTTGCAGATCTGCCCGGGCGGATTTCAAAGCGGTCGTGTAACCGGCACAAACACGTTAAGCATTAACAACTATCTCTCGCCCCCACCCCACCCCCCACCCCCCCGGACAAGCTATTTGATGTTCTAGTTTTCAATTACTCCACGCAAAGTGGACGTCTTCCAGCGCGATCTTTGGGGATGTGTGGGACCGGGACGGGGGAGGGAAGGCAGAGGGGTGTGTGCTCGCCCACTGGCCCTGCGGGTCCGGCGGCCTCCGTGCCCAGACGGCGCTCCCGGGGAGGGTGGGGAGGGACCCAGCTTCGCCGGCACGTTTCTGGGCGGCCGCGGGGGCGCTAGCCGCGCTCCCGGGAGGACGCCCGAGGTGAGCTGCTGTCACCGGGCGCCGCAGCGGCCGCCTCCCTTCGGCTCTGTCATTTCATGTGTGACCGCAGTTCTGCGGGCTCCCCTCGTCAGCTGACCGACCTCAGCGCCGTGATACCCACCGGGGGAACTATTTTGGGGAGGCTGTGCCCTCGGTGCGGTGGGAGGGAGGGCGCGCGGCCGCCTGACAAGGCTTTGTATTGCCCGAGCGAGAGCAGGGTGATCAAACTGAGACTTTTGAGGGCAGCTAGCTCTGTGCCAGGCCCTCGAGCTTTCGAGGTAGATGTAAGGATCTTTTTGTTAAATGAATGGTTCCCGGTTTAACTCATCCCGGAGCGTGGAGCTGCCTGCCAGTCCTTCCACAATTCCTTGGTCTGATGGAGTTGATTGTACTTTTGGCATCGCCAGTTCACTCCCTCTCCCAGGATCGAATTACCCATCAGTGGTCTATGCCGGTTAATTACTGGAGTTCGTCAAAACCTTCGCCCTGAGATCTGCCTCTTCGGAAATAAGCCCCGCCCTCCTCCCCGAACGTCCCCCCCCCCCACCGCCCTCCCCCGCCAGCTTTGGGTTTTAAATGTTCGTACTTCCCGACGTCTGCCTGCAATTTTACAAAGGTGTTGTTTGGAAATACTGGGAAAAAATCCTGCAACCTACCAACAGGTTGAGCTCTTTCCCCCTCCCAAGGTCTAGCTCGGCCCCCTCCCCCGACCCAACTTTCCTGCGCAGCTGTCTTCCTCCCCTCCCCCTCCTGATTTCTTATTATTTGCTTTTCAAATTTATTACTTCAACATGGCCTGTGATCTGGAAAAGGGAAGGATTAAATATCCAGAAAAGAGCTGGTGCCTAACAGACTTCTGACTAAACCCAGAAGGAAATTATTCAGTGTTTTATGAGATATTTTGTGGTCACTCTCCTCTTTCTTTTTTTTTTAATTGAAATTGAAATATTTTTAAAGACCCCGAGTTGACCCTACTTGGTCCAGTTTTAATTTCTGTTGGTGTAATTAAATAGTGAATTCTGATTTAAGAATAAAAACAATATTAGCCGAAGGTTGCATCTGTTAGAACTGCTGATAATGAATAGATGCACAGTATTTTTAAATAAACGATTTTAAAAAATTGTTCATTAAGGGGAAATAAAAGCAAACCGTTGTAATGATCTGTGCATTTCGTCACTGCTATATGAGCCATACCTAAGAAAATTAATCTTGCCATTTAAAAGTAAACTCTAGGGGGTTTGGGGAGGGAGATGGCTCTATTTATAATCCTCAGCTGCATATACATCCTCTAATATTATGCATGATTTGTTTTTTAATGCTAACACGGCTGGTAATTAGCTGTATGATTATACTTGTATATTTCATTAGGACTTTGGCTGATGTCATTGTGAATTATTCAGCCATATTAAAACAATTTTCAATTGAGATAATGACACGCCTCAAAATTATGCAAATGCAGGCTGCATTGTGCAAAATAATTATGACAAATGTAAAGCAGGTAGAAAGTTTCCCAATGCAGATCGCTTTTCCACCCTGGTGATGTCATTTCCCCCCCTGGCCTAAGTTAGTCATTCATTAGCTGAATAGCAGCCCCAGTCTCCTCTGGAGGAGAGCCTACAGAAACCAGCATTTACTGCAGGCACCTAGAGGGGGCAACAGGGTCCTCTCATTAAGAAATTTGCTTTGTTTTCACTTACTCCATTAACTTGTTTATATACAGTGAAATGATTTTTGTTATTGATTTTAAATAGTTTGGAATGATGCATTTGCCATTTGCAAAGTGTAACTGAAAGAGAAAGGTTTCTTGGTGATGTGCACTGTTACTTGGAGAAAATGTTCAGCACATTTAATCAGCCAGTACAGTTTATTTTAAGTAACCAAATGGAGGTTAATAATTTCTTGATTGAGCTGACATCAGCATCCATTTCAAAAGGACAGCCAGGACTCAGTATGCTTTTTTGGTTTAAGAGAACCATTCTGTCTATTTATGATTTCTTGAAATGTAAAGACGTCAGTTCTAAAAGGAGGAAGATTATCATTGTGCGAGATTAGAAATAGCGTCCCTCTGTGGTTTGCTATCTGCAGAGGGCCTTTTTGGGGAATATTTTATTGATCCTTGCAATAATTGTATGAGGCTGGATAAGGCAGGACTTTGTATGCCATTTTATAGATGGAGACAGAGGCTTAGAGAAATTATGTGGTTTGTCAAAGGTCACCAGGCCAGAACCCAGGCCTTCCTAAGCTTTAGGATTGGTTTTGTTTTTTTTTTTTCCGCACTGAATCCTACCCTTGACACCAGAGTTTTAATTCTAGAAGTATGCACTAATGTGGGCTGGTCCTTGTTCATTTTAGAATTATGACTAGTCAATCCGTTTTGCCAAAGGTCACCGGATTTTAGGTAGCAGAACCATTCTTATTCTATAAAGTTCAGCTGATTCGAGCTAGTGGTATCTAACAAGAACAGTTGCATTTTAATACCATTAATAATCATTAACAATTTATTATTAGTTATAATAACTATGATAATGACTTAACTGCTGCCTTCACATACTTCCAGTGCTGGCAACTGGTGTAGAGGAAAAGCGGTCCAGAAAGAGTTACATCTTGATTCTGCAACTTAGTATTTGTTCGACCTTGAACCAGCATAAACACTCAGCCTCAGGTTCTTCAGCAGCAAAATGGGGACAATAATGAGGCAGGCTGTGGATTGTGAATATCAAGAGGCATCGTATGGGCAAAAGTACTTCAAAACCAGTACAGTCCTTACATAAATAGGGATGATTGTGGTGACCTTTATTCTAGATATGATTAATTTATAAACAATAAGCAGGATAACTTTTATGCCTGTGTGGAGGTTCCCAGGCCTAATCATGATACTGTCTTAAATTACCATGAAAGTGAATAGCAGAGCCATATACAAGGAGTTAAGTGTCTTTAGTAATTACCCACAATTGCCACATTCAGCCACTGCCTCTTCAGAGGAGGAAAATGGCAAAGTAGGCGGGTAATTGGTTCTGTTACTGGGTAACTTCTGATTATATTCATTTTCAAATTGCCAAGTGCTTAATCTATAGGCAATATACCCTCTTAAAAGAGGTGGATGTGCAAGCTTGGATTTCAGCCTGACCGTGGGCTGGATTCTACAAGAAGCTTTACTGGTCACCTGCAACTGTGAGTGTGGATGAGTAAGCTAATGATGTCAGGAAGTCAAGATCAAGCACACCTGGGCATTACAGATAGTAATGACACGTAGTCAGGATTTCTACAAGTGGTTACTATCTGGTTAAAAATTGTCAAACATTCATATTCCAGAGCCCCTGTTGAAATTAACTCGATTGGAATCTCTGGAACTGGGGTCCAGGATCCTGCATTTTAAACATTGCCTCACTTTCCTCATCTATGAAATGGAAATACAGTACCTACTCCCTAGGATTGCCTTAGGGATTAAATGAGTCAATACATGTGAAGTGCTTACAACTGAGATTGGCCCATAGTAGATTCTTCAGTAGTGGTGGACTCACTGTTTTTGTCATTAGTATTTGTATTGCTGTTCTCATTGAAATTTGAGACCACTACCACTACTTTCCTTTTTTTTTTTTTTTTAAGATTTTATTTATTTGAGACAGAGCACAGCCAGAAGGAGGGGCAGAGGGAGAGGGAGAAGCAGACTCTCCGCTGAGCAGGGAGCCAGACATGGGGGGCTCGATCGCAGGACCCCGGGATCATGACCTGAGCCAAAGGCAGAGGCTTAACTGACTGAGCCACCCAGGCACCCCCCACCACTACCTTTCCTAAAGAAAGGTTTTCTCTGTGAGAGGACAGCATCTAGGTTAGTTTGCTAGGACAAATACCCGATACCAGTCTCCCCAAATCAGGTTGGCTTTCATCCATATGATGAGTTTAGCTATGTCACCAAAATAAAAAGTTCCTTAAAGATTTACATTTCAGTATGGAGCTATGCTGTCATCTGGATCAGCCGGATGTGTTTAAAAGATTGCCTGCTTGTATCACATCTCATGTTAGTCAGACACGTTCTGAAATCTAGGAGGTACTGGA